ATGAAATACAGTTTCTATAACTATTTGCAGAGAAAATGTTTTATATACCCATATTATAATTGTACATGAAGAAAATATACTGATAATGAAATTATATACACTGAGTTTATAGATAGAATATTATCATTTTACAGTCGTATACACATCTTTGCAAGATCTATAGAGTATACACACTGTACAGCACATCCACATGTTGTAGAACATTATATAGAGGAGATGTTTTATTGTCCATACATGTGAAATGCCCCTGCACATGAAGACTATATACACACACTTTGGAGACTATATGACACAGTGTAGTAAACCGGATGCAGCGTGTCCGCGTGCACAGTGATCAATAAGTGTCTGATATATTGATTATCGGTGAGCCAATATTTACAGCTGAGTATGGCTGTAATAATGAGATCTGCTCCACCGTGGTAATTTAGTTTGAGAACATCAAGTGTGCAAACTGCTGTGTCTCTCTGTGTCTCTGTGGGTGTTGAACCTGCCTGTGTTTGGTATTCCGTGCAGAAAGCCTCCCACGCCCCGTGTGTCCGCCCACGCGCGGATTTGCGTCACGCAGGGAGCAGCGTGGGCGAGAGAGAGAGAGAGAGAGAGAGAGAGAAAGAGAGAGAGAGGCTCTGTGGCAACCGCGCGGAATATCCCACTTTATTCTGCTGCCCGCGTCAAGCTGCGCGCGAGCAGGGCGCGACACGGACAGGAAGTGGTGACAAAATAAAAGCACCTGGAATACACATGGAGAGTAAATCAGGTTTGTAGACAACAACTGGTGGAGGAAGTACTGATGGAGTAAAAGTACTATAATAATAATAATAATAATGATAATGATAATGATAATATAAATAAAATAATGGAATAAAATAAAATGCAGAATTAAAGCAAATAAAATGAGGCAATTTTTAAAAATACAAATAAAGATAAAATACCAAAATTGGCAACTAATTGCCCTGTAGATTGCTCTGAGGTACAACAAATCAAACAATTAGAGTTACACAAAATAAAAGGACACAATAACCGCTGACAACACAAGATAAAAACAATAAAAGTAATCAACAGACATATATAAAATAATTAATAGAAGGCTTTTTGAACAGATAAAAATGTCACTGATTGTCGAAATACTCTGTTGCAAGTAAAAGTCCTACATTCAAGTAAAAGTGCAGTAACTAAAGTATGAAAGTAACTTGTCGGGCAGAATATTTTTTTATAAATTTTATATATTTTTTTTTAATATATATTAAATATAGCAATTAATTTTTTAGGCTGTTATTTACCTCTGAATTGTTGTGTCTAAGTGTTTAAGTAGCAAGAAATTGACGTAATTGAGTAAAGACAAAACATCACAATGTACACTGTAAAAAAAAGTGCAAAAGTCAAGAATCGTATCGCGAAAATTCTTTTTTAAATTTTATTTCTTGTTTTTATTTAATTTTCACATTATTGTTTTAATTCATTTTTTTATTTTATTTTTATTTATCTTTATTTCATTTTTTAATTCATTTTTTAGTTTATTTTCCTTTATACATTTTTATTTTTTGTATATTTTCCTTTATTTATACATTTTTTTATTTTTTTAGTATATTTTCCTTTATTTTATACATTTTTATTTTTTTGTATATTTTCCTTTATTTATACTTTTTTTATATATATATTTTCCTTTATTTTATTCATTTTTTAAGGTATAATCACACAATCAGATGCTGCGCTTTTATTTTGTAACGCCAGCCGGAAGCGCGTGTTTGCGTGTGTCTGCGCGCGCCTTGACAGTGGTGAACAGTGCAGGGGAGTGGAGAGACGCTGGGAGAGGACTCAAACACTCACTCACACACACTTACACACACACTCACCCATACACACACACACACTCAACACACACTCGGAGGAAGAAAGACGCACCAAAAGACGCACGAAGGTCAGCGGCTTTTTTTTTTCCTCTTAACTGATATTCTGCGCCTTTTTTCTCTCTCACCGGCAGGAGAAAGAAAAAGTTTCCAGAAAGAGAGGAAGAGGAGAGGAGTGTCGCTCGGTGTGAGCACGCACAGACAAGCACGCGCTCTTTGGCTTCTTCTTTTTGTCCTGGAGATAATTTGATTTTTATAAAAGATTATTTGTCATTTTTACGCACCGTTGCTGTTTTGGGGGACGCCTTGTTGTGCGGGCTGTTTGTGCACACATTCACCCCCCGGGCTCTGTGTTGATAAACAGTGAAGAAGAAGGAGAAAGAGCAGAAGAAGAAGCGGACCAGGGCGGACCAAAGGGGGCCACAAACTCACCAGGTAGGCACAAGTAGACCTGCCTCTGATCCTGCATCTTACCTGCTGCTTTATTCTGGCACATGCTGCAGAGACAGCACCACATCACCTCCAGATATTATTCTAATATCATAGGGAATGCTTTAAAGTGCTGCAGCATGTGTGTGAAGCTCTGTTTAGGAATATTATATTGAGATAAAGCAGCATCACAGAGCAGCGTGCACATGATTTAAGCCTCTATTGTTACATTAGTATGTGAAATTATCTTTATAGGGAGTCAAAAATAGCTCAGATGCAACCTTAACTCACCACACAGGCTTTATTGATATTACAGAAATAATATAATAGATAGGGAAGCACAGTTGTAGCCACTCATGTGCATTAAAATGTGAATATAAAGGTGACTGTGTCTTTGTGGACTCCCCATTGAGTTACTATGGGAACATTAAAGAGACAATAATGTGGTGTTTCATTTAAATAGCCTGTGTGTCTTTGCCAGGTGTGCTCAGCTGCACCAGAGCCTGAATAACTGCACTAAATCTGCTGTTATGGTGCACACATGACTGAACACATAGTTCCCAGGTCACCGTGGTGATCACGGCGTTCTTCCTCCGCACTGAAATATTGGGAAATCCCATCTGAATCACAGCAAAGTCAAAGTGTTCCTCACTTTAGATAAGCCTGGTCTGCTGCGTGGCACTTTTACCTGGAAAACTACACATCAGCCTGAGTGTGTGTGTGTGTGTGTGTGTGTGTGTGTGTGTGTGTAATCTAAGTGTGTGTGCACCATTGTGCCGGCACACGCCTCCCTTCTCCAGGTGAAAAGCCGAACTCGCTAAACTCGCTTTTGTGGAGCAGGGCTTCAATTAGAAGCTGCCATTCACAGGCGCCTATTACTCCCTGAACACACACACACACACACACACACACACACACACACATGTCTGCTGTGATAAAACCTGGAGTAAGATGGCAGGCTGTTAGATATCAGTCTTGAAAGAGCGTTTGTGTAGACGCCGACAACGAGCACCACCGGAGCCGTTTCCTCACTGGAGTCAATGGATCCAGTTTCTATTTGCAGCAACGCCGTGTGGTGTTTTTTAAAGCCGCAGGATTGTTTCATGCTCCAGACAGGCTTGGACAATCTACCTGCCGCACACACGGGAGTTCACACTGCAGCTATATATAGGCATTCAATTCACACGTTTGCGCTTTATTGTGAAAAACCAGCAGAAAACAGCCTCTGAGACAAAAGTGGGAACGTCTGATAGCTGCAGCCGACGAGTCTTTGTTTTGTCTGTGGAATGTCAGCAAAGGTGACATCGATCTTGTTTCATCCAAACAACCAAATCAAATATATTTACTGTAATGTATGTGAAGGAAAAGCATCAAATCATAATTTTAAGAAGCCACAATCACAGATAAATAAAGAGATAAATCGCATCTAATGGCGCCACAGTGGCTCTGATAAAATCTTTACATCTGTGTCAAACTGTACGTTACTGATTTAAACAGAAGGGCGTGAGGTTTGTTTCAACATTCAGCGGTTTGGAGGTCCATGCCACAAAATTTTAAGCATCAAACACTTAATTTTGCACCAATGTGTGCCATTTCAGCATTAATCAGGGCGTCTACAGGTCCTTAAAAGGTCTTAAATTAGGCCTTAAAAGTCAGGAAATAGTCTTAACTGCGACAAACATTTTATCTAATTTCATTTATCCGTTTTTTAAATTTCTTTTTGTGAAAATGAGTGACGCCTTTCTATGTCAAAGTCCAAAAATTTTAATGTTACACATCTTTAAAAAAGTACAAGACCACGTGTACACCACTTACCTGCGATGCTTAAATAAATAAAACATGATTCATCCAAAACTCTGTCCCTAAATGTGGTTAAAAGGCGTCCTGATCGGGTCTTTAAAAGCATTGAATATAACTGTCTGGTACCTGTAGACACCCTCATTAATTTATGTTTAATTACGTCAAAAATAAAAGTCTGCTGCTACTTTGATGTTTTTATTGGAGGGGAACGTGTCCCGTGTCCCCATTGAAATCTGCGCCTAATTTTAAGGCATGTTGCATTGTGCGGTATGTGCCGGGTAATCTTGTCGATCAGCGTCTGAAACCTCCTCCTCTCACACCTTCTTCAAATTAAGGGAGCAGTCGTCTCCTTGTGCAGCGATTGGCCAGCTCAGTATGTGGAGGTATGAAAGTACTTTAGCTACGTGTACGAACAAGTGTCTTTGAGGACGGACTGTCTGTGCACAGCTACCTCTGTTTGTGTCATTTATTAAGGTCGCTCAGAGCAGGTTTAAAAGTTTTATCGGTCAACACTTTGTACGAATGTTCAAAAAGTACACATCATTGAGTCCAAGTGGACGTTTGTGCCAAGTTTAAGAAAACGGGACATAAAGAGGGATTTATACTTGTGCGGCAGAGCCTACGCTGTTATGAGCATTTATACTTGTGCGGTGGTGTGTCCGTGTCACTCTGCAGTTACACCTCCAAAACACCAGTCAGCAGCTGTAAAGTTTACTTGATACAAAACACACATTAAACACACATTAAACATGGCTTAATAGAGACAATTTCAAACACAAGTACACAAATCAGCTTCACTATAACTCGCAGCATTCACAGACAAACACTTGTCTTTATCTGGACACATTTTCCCCACAAATACAACATGCTAACGTTATTAGCACAAGCCTATGGCGTTTTACATTGTATAAATTAGCCTAGCAGCTAGTGAACTTTTCAGGGACAACAGCAACATTTAACAAAGGTAATGGTACATAATTTGGCTCCATTACAACTCACAAGGTTCACTGACAAAACAACTGTCTTATACTAAACACGTTTTCCAAACAAATACAACATGCTAACGTTATTAGCACAAGCCTATGGCATTTTACATTGTATAAATTAGCCTAGCAGCTAGTGAGCTTTTCCTCTTCTCATATAAAACCAGGGACAACAGCAACATTTAACAACAGTAATGTTACAAAATTTGGCTCCATTACAGCTCACTGCATAATAAGGAAAAAATAAGACTATAGAATATAGAAGCGTCTTCTTCACACAAATGATCCCTGAGTGCGATCGACTCGCACACCAGTCTGCTTGTTGTGCTCAGTTGCTAACATCATATGGTTAAAACTCTGATTGCATACAGTGTATTCTGCTTGTACTTGACAATGACCCCTGGAAAGTGACGTTTCAGCACAAACGCACGAGCTGTTACAGCCTGACTTTAGCGCGATAGCTTTTACACTAAATCTGGATATGCCGATTGCTAACAGTGCAAGCATGAGAGTGTTAGCTTCAGAGTTGAGCTTGGAGTTTTAGGATGGTGCTGTTTCATTATCATTAAACCTTTATTTAACCAGGTGAAGACACAGTGAGATTCAACCTGCAGTTAGATGCTGGTCACTACGCTCCCAGTTTGGAGAAGCAGCCTAAAGCTAAAGCGTTAGCAATAACACAAACTAATACATAACTGATGAGTCTTTGTGTTCTGTGAACTAAAATTACTGTTTCTGTTGAAGGAGTCTGGAGCCTGTGGACGAGGGCAGCTGCAAAACATATTTTAGCCTCCTTAAAAAGGACCACCCAAAAAAAACTGGACACTATGTTAAGATTATTTTACAGCTTTACCTTGCTGTCAGACGGGCCTTTACAAGGAGGAGCTGAAGCTGTTATATGTATATATATATGTTATATATATAGAGTGTTATTGTGAGACGTTCAGGACTGAACATGGCGTCCACAGCAGTACATGGGTTTATATTAGTGGTGGGGAAAAAATCGATACAGCAAAGTATTGTGATATTTTTGTGTGCTGATATCATATGAGACATGGACAACAAGTATCGATTTTCTTTTTTATCATATGAATGATTTATATTATAAATACAAGTTTAAGTTTTGGTAGCAGACTAGAATAATGAAATCAATTGGTACAATATGGTACGAAACGATGAAATATGATACGATACGATGAAATATGATTCAATACGATACGATGCTATGAAATATGATTCGATACGATACGATGCGATGAAATATGATTCGATACGATGTGATGAAATATGATTTGATACAATAAGATACGATGAAATATGATTCAATACGATACAATGCGATGAAATATGATTCAATACGATGCGATGAAATATGATTCAATACGATGCGATGAAATACGATTCGATACGATGCGATGAAATGATTCGATACGATAAGATATGATGAAATATGATTCGATACGATACGATGCGATGAAATATGATTTGATACGATGCAATGAAATATGATTCGATACGATGCGGTGAAATATGATTCGATACGATGTGATGAAATATGATTCGATACGATACGATGCGATGAAATATGATTCGATACGATGCGATGGAATATGATTCGATACGATGCGATGAAATATCATCCGATACGATGCGATGGAATATGACTCGATATGATACGATATGACACTCTTTATTGTCCCCGTAGGGAAATTCACCTTTGACTCAGGAGCTGCTCAAGTATTTCTGCCTAGCATACGTACACCATAGAAACACATACTACACATAACATTATCGCACATCAGCCGTTCACGTATAGCACGTAACACCAGCACACGACAGAGCACCATAAACAAAGCACAACACAAAAGCATCAAGCGACATTTTTAGAATAGTTGGCTTTTCAGTCTACTAGATACATCGCAATACTCAGCATATCGCAACACGTTTAAAATCGCACTAATATCGTATCGTGGCTTTAGTATCGTGATTATGTCATAACAGGGCCACTGGTGCTTCCCACCCCGAGTTTATATGCAGCTACGACATCACGCAGAAACCTACATCAGGCCATGTGGGAAAAAGGTTTGGATTTTTTTCAACAGTCTGTTTATTTAGTTTTCAACATTATACAAAATGACAGACACCGATAAACATCCTACATTGCATACTATGGAATACATTTACTTATAAGTTTCAGTCAGTTTCAATGCAGAGGTTGTGATT